ATGTTAACGAGTTGGGCCTGGTAGGAGACAGATCCAACCTGAATCCACCCCCAGACCAACTTAAGGCTGATCTGACCCTAACCCAACAGGTCTGGTCAATGTGCGTTTACCACTTAATCCCCCATTGACATCCCCAAAAAGGGGGCATGAGGATTCCACACCAATACATCCCTAGATCAAAGACTAACACATATATAACTATTCAAACGTCATATTGAAGTTAGTGAGGCAGAATTTAGAAACTTAAAGAGATTCAATACCTTAGAAAGAGGTAATAAAGAAGTTTCTGATATACAAGATATTGATCAGTGCACCTAAGAAAGCATTGTGTTTCTATTTTACAATAAACTTGGCATCTGAGGTTATACTCATGTGTATTAAATAATGCCAATAAAAACATTAATAAATGAATTATGCAGAAAAGGAAACAACGAAAAGAAAGAATTCCATATTTACCTTGTTTTCCATGTTCAGACGGGTTTTCAATTTGGATACTGCTCCTGAAATTTCATCTTCACTTGTTGACATAAGTTGGGTGAAGATTGACTGTAGCATGGCTTTTATTTTCTCCTCCCCATCTTGCTTATTGGCATGTAAAATTTCACCTGCACTTTTACTACCAACCAGTTCTATGATCTCAGGGACAGAAAGAAGCACATTCTTAAGTTCCTGCATAAATGTTGAAATTCCTACAAATAAGTCATTCTGGGATTCAGGTGCAATAAAGGTGAACAAATAACATGATGCGTCATTTAAGTAGGTATCTTAGTCTTATCATATTTTGTCTTAGGTTATATCCTCTCATATGGCCTACAAGTGAAATAATCAACATAATCATTGTGTAAAGGATGCACCTGTACCCCCAGTACCAGGGGAAGGGGGAACTACAAAATACATGAAAGAACTAAATCACTCCATCAGAAGATTAAAGGGGCAAATGAAAACAAGGGGCGGTGCAAGTCTGTCAATGCAATGAAACAGAAATTGTCTTGTAACAGTTATTGGATGGGCCAGTTGTATTCTGATACATGAGTAATCATTGATAGAACTAGAGAAGTTTTGTTGCATTTCCAATTTTGCATATGCATACATGCACATGAACTATTAGATTTTATCATCCCACGTAGCCCCTTTGAGAAGCAGTCTCCTGAATTCATGCAAGCAACTGCTAAATGTAATACAGCAAAGCTAATGAAACAAATATGACTGCCATTTAGATAGAGTGATTCTTCATCTTGTTTCCTTCACAAAGAAAGGAATCTCTAAACAACTCCAGCACAACCACGTGATAAAAGTAAAATCAATTTTTTTTGACAAGGCTGACCTAACTATTTAACCTTGACAGCAATTCAACCATATCAGTATTTAACTTCCATTATTGAAAGGAGAAAAAGAATGATGGATCCAGATGTAATGATTAATATTTGCACTAAACCATCTAAACTCTATCAAATGGTAACAAGAAAAGCATGTCAAAAAACCAAATGGTTGTAGGTTCCCCATGTGCCACTCATGGTGTGAAACTCCTAAAAGCTAGAATATCTTCCAAAAATTCTATGTATTGGGAATTGTACCGAAAATTGCATGTCGCACGAGATTAGTGGAAATGTTCCAAGCTTTCCTACTACCAACTAAACAATCCTAAAGACAGAGAGGCCAAACTGATAGAATGTTAGATGAATTTTACCAGTAGTCATCGGAATCCTTGCACGTTAAACTACAAATTAACGACAGCCCATCTATTCTGCATCTAGAGAGAGAGAGAGATCAAACTGATAGGAAAAAGGATAATAAATGCTTGTTGGTTATTTGATGATTTATCAGCCTCATCATGCTCAAGATCCACCCTCTGCCAGTTATTAGATAACTTATCAGGTTTAGGCCACTCAGAATCCATCAGAATACATACGCGAATATGGTAAGTTGCATTATTCAACTAAAAACACGTAGTCTACTTGGATAAAAACTTCGGTACGTTACCTCAAGGCTGACAAATCCACACAATGCCTCAAACTCTGTGAGTGCCAAAGCCATTTCAGGTTTGTGATTATCATCCTTATACACAGTCGGCTGTGTTGCATGTAAAGTCTCTGCTAATGCCTTGTCTGGATGAGCCTGTATTGACAAGGCTTTTGCAATTGAAAGTACCTGACAACAGCAGAGAATTGAAGAAGAAAAATCAGAACTTTAGTACAAGTGGAGAGCCAATTAGACTGGGGAAGAAATTCAAATTATAATTAAAGTAGAAGAATTCTTCTGAAATTCAAGAGAGCGAGATACAGAAATGAAGATCCAGAACGAAAGAATCAAAAAACTTGAATTCTGCTTAAAGCCTACGGCCCTATACCTTGAACAAGAAAGGAAGATCAGCACCCCACTTCTCAACAACCTTCTCGCCAAGTACATGAGGGTTTTCCGAAATCCACGACTTCAGGCTTAACGGCTCCAACCCGGAACCTCCATCTCGGTTGCCTAGAATCAAAAATGAAGGTCCAGAATTGTGAGTTCCCATCCATAATTCCGCATATGGCTTATCGTTTTGGATTTCCATCCCGGAATTCAGCAGAAACAACTCTGCAACCTTGGATTCTTCTCCAATTCTCCCCCAATCGTAATTCTGAACCGAACATCTCAACAACTGAAGCTGCTTCTTCCTCTTTCCCGCATTCTTCTCTGCCATCTCCTCTTCTCGCTATCGCACTCTAAAAGTCTCTAACCAAGGAACTCCCTTAGATCTTTCCTCGAATGGCGTTATCCACCATAAATGCTCTGTTTCAGAGCGTTTAAAGAGAAACCCAGTGGAAAGCGTTAAAATTCAATACGGACTCCCACTGAAAAGAGGGCCATTTTCGGCCCTCCCATTCACAACTTGTCAGTTGTCACGTCGATTGGAACAATGTATTGACGTCAGAAGAGGAAAAAGTTGGAAATTAATTACCGGAAGAATGTTTTGAGATAATTCTAAAATAAAATAAAATAAATAAAACTTTTGATGTGAAAATCTTGAATGACCTGTTCCTTTCTCTCTCTCTCTCTCGTTTATCAGCAGGGTTAGGGTATTATATTTGTAGAACACACCGTCTCCATCTACAGACAAAAGGCTTTTAAGAACTCGGTAATCTGCAACTCAGTCAAGACATCTGCCATTATCGTGTTGGACTTGAAGACGGAAACAAACTGATCAATGTATCAGAGAGAGAAGCGGGCTTGAGAGTTGACACCTGAGAGAGCAAGAAAAAAGTGAAACCCTACTTTGACTGAGGATTTGAATACCGACTGTCAAAACGATGGATAAGAGAGAGAGATGGCGGTGAAATGTGGGAATAGATTGCTCGGCTGAGAGATTTGAGGAAGAGGAAAGGCATAAGATTTCATAGAGAGAAATCGGGTTAGAAAAGAAAACCGGTATTACAAAACCCGGTTTTCAATATTTTTTATTTTTTGATAAAAAAAAAGGACAAAACCGGTATACAAGTTTATATGACGTGGCATGATTTGGATGGAAGATCGAAAATGGGCTTTCAGTGCGTTCCCATCAAATTGAATGATTCGAACATTTCATTTTCTCGTGTTTATTAACGAAATTATCTCGATACTGACGATACGATTTTATATCGGAGCATCTCGCCCTATGTACAAGATGGACAATTGGACATTTCGGTACAGTTACCGCAGAATAGGGACATAGTTTCAGTTGAATAAGCCTGGATAAAAAATTGAAAACAATGTAATAAAATAATGGCTTTTACCAAAGTGAAGGATCTAGCTGCCTAGCCATTAATGCACGTTCCAATTTTATAATTGTAACCGTGGAAAATATGTAATATATACGGACAAGTACGGATTCACACGATGCAGAATTCTGAATATTTTTAATAAAATATATATTTTAATATCATCAGTACCTGATGATATTCTTTTATTAATAAAATTCAGAACTCAGAAGCTTCTTATTTGTTAATTCGAAATTTCAATTCAAGGAAATAGAAGAATTCGAAATGGGTGAGCCGTGAGCAGATGGCTCACCTTTAGCTGTAAGCAAAGCTATCAAGACACGCATAGCGTAGAAGGCCCAATAAAAGGACTTGTGGGTGGTGGATATGGATAATTGTGATGTGAATGGGCCTCGGCCAGTCGGCCTCACTTCTCAGGACCGAACTTGTTCGACTTTATTTGCGTCGTTTTCGTTTGAAATTGAAATCATTTGATGAAAGAAGGTTCCTGGTAGCATCCTCCTTGCAAGGACAAAAATGAGGTTGTCCTTATGCAGATGAGCTCATTTGTCCTCCTGACTCGTGACACCAATAAAAGCTCGTGAGTGAATTGAAACTCTAATTTTGTGGCGCTCAGAACACGGGGTTGCAAGTTGCAAGTTGCAAATTGCAGAGTCCAATAACTGAGTCCGTCTCAATTTACCTTCACCTATGCTCCAAACACAACTTTGCATGTGTTTGTTTAATTGTTTCTGTGGAAGAGGGGCACTGGAGCAGCAAACGAACTTACGAAGTTTTGGTTAGCGACAAAATAAAGAAGCAAAGCACAAAGAAATAGAAATTTTGAAGAAAAGAGTGATGGGGTGATGGGGCTGTTTTGCCCTCTCTAAGACTACGTCCACCGACAGCTCAATGCCCAATAGCGTGATGTTTAATGTCAGAAAGCAACTGTGACGCAGAGGCCAATATACAGAAAGAAATGCCAGAGGCCACAGAGTTAGCACAGGGGATGTCAGAGGCCATAGAGTTAGCCCAGGGGTGCTCCGACACTTAAGCTGATAGAGAGCTATAGAGAGTATGAGGGATTGGACCAAGTAAGAGAGGAGATTTAGAACTTGAATTGTAAGAGTCCCTTTTTTATAATCGGAATTGCCGGAGAGAAGGAATAGTTGGGAGCAGGTGGCGACAGATGGCAGTGGGGAGAGGTGTGGTGTCGACCTCCCTCCCTTGGAAAGGAGATTGTAGTGGCCCGAGCGCCTACCGTCATCCTGATTGGTCGTCGCGCGATGGTGTTGACTACCGAGGTTCATGTGTTCGACGTGGGACTCCACGGGGTCGGCCACTCAGTTGGGGAGATGAGAGACCTTGGAACGGGGTTTGCCAGCTTGTTGGCTACTACTATCTAACTCTGAGGGATCGACTCTCTCCGAGCCGCTCAAGCGTTGGTTTAGCGGGGTACGAGTGGATCATCCACTGTGTTGTCTATGGCTTCCGACGGGGCGGCCACCCTATGGGTGGCTTCCTATTGGACGCCCTATGTTGTTCAATCATTGGGCCAGGTTGTCCAGCTTGTTCAGGATCAGCTCGAACTGCTCAATCGTAACTAAGTTCCAGACGTTAGGGATGGGGTCTTGCTTGTTAGCCATTTTAGGAACACTAGTTGATTTAATTATTATTATTATTTTTTTTAAGGGCCAATTGTTGCTGCCGAATATGGAGTGAAGGGCAACAATATAATTTCTAGTGTTCGAGGCCAATGGGTCCAATCTACTAAGAGAAAGAAGATGTCAAAGGTCTAGGGAGTTATCCAGGGCCAAAGGCTCTAATGGTCAAGTTAGCAAAGGGCTTTGAGGGGTCGGATCAAGCAAGAGGAGACTTAGAGATTGATGTGGTAGTCCCTTTTTATAGTCGGAGTTGTCTGAGAGGAGGAATAGTTGGGAGCAGGTGACGGCAGTTGGCAGTGGTTGGTGATGGGTGGTCAAAATGCGTCTAGCCGACGCCATGTGTCAGGGTCCATAGGATGACCGGGATGCATCCGACCGATGGCACATGTCAATATTTGCACATCGACCAAACCCCGGCATCGACCATCATTTGCAAATTTTTTGTTTAGTAAAAGAAAAAGGGGTGGGGGAGAAATGAAGAGGAAAATAGAAGGGAACTTTAATTTAGGTCAAAAGTCAAAAGAAGACTTTTCCCTTGTCTGGGAGTGCTTTCTCTAAGCATTTATTGTGAGAAGTGCTTAAAAGATTTCAAAAGCACCCAAAAAACACTAATGGTTATGGGTGTTTGGTAAAAGCAAAGTTTTTAAAACTGAATTGGACAATAAACCGTTCAAAAGTCTGATTTTTGGATCAAATGGTCTGATTGTTTGAACCAAATGAATGGTCCGTTATGATAAAAAAATTAAAAAGAAAATAAAAAATGGTCAAAAACCACTGAACGATTTTTTTATATTTGCTTATTAAAAAAATCATTATTGCATTTTCGGCCTGTTTTGGCCCACCACCTAATTATCATTTATCAGAACACCTATACTTACCCCATTTGAAAGAAGCTCATTTTCACCAAACACTGATAAATTGCTTAAGTTATTAATAAGCACTTACCCAAAAAGCATAAGCACTCAAAACACTGCCGTTTTTTTCCACATTAGACCTTGTCTGGGATTTCCTTTTGCTTCTTCAAAGAAAGAAAAAGGATGGTTGTTAACCACCGTCATTTGTCGCTACGCTCCATCAATCTCAGTCCCAACTGACGTTTTACACAACACTAGAGATTAGCGATGATATCTAAGTTAGCGATGTAATGGTTAGAGGTATCAACAGAATAGTTAGGCATCCATAACCAGAGAATGTTTAATTGATTATCTAGATGTATGAGAACAGTAAACTAATTTAGGGGTGTTTGGCAATATGAATGGTTCTATTTTTCAAAACAAAAAGTCCAAAAACAACTGGCTTATAAGAAAATGATCGTCTTTTTTTCTTTTTATATTCTAAAAAAACAAAATCATTACTGATGCAGTTCAATCCGAGGTGGTGCACGAACTGAGAAGAACAACCAGATAATTCTTGCTGATTGGGCGGTGTCAAGTTAGTGAGAAGGCGGTGAATGGTCGGGCCGAGCAATGAGGGTGCTGGCCCGAGCAAAATAACGGTATGGGTGCTAGAAGTTGGGATCCCTTACCTTGAGCATGGAGCACATTTTTATAGTCGGGGTTTCGTCTCCTGGTCAGATTAGGCTTTTGGGGAGATCGGGATGGAGCTCTCTGCCGAGGTTACCGGGGTAGAGTCCTACTCCTCGGCGGAATTGTCTTCCCACCCCTTATCCGTGGGGCGTGTAGCTGACGTGGCTGGAGGGATGAGACCGGGGGGCACGGTAATAACATAGCTTGGCCCAGCCGACTCGTCGTGGCCGAGCTATGCTGACATGGCCGGGCTAGGCCGATGTGGCTGGGCGATGACTGGGTGGTCACGTGTCTCTCAGGGCCAGCTTAGCCATGACCCCAACACCATTCCCCCAATTCTAAAGTCGAGGGATGAGGTTTTCCTGGTTCGTTGCTCGGTTGAGGAACTTCCGAGTTGTAATCTAGTTCTTTCGCCGTTCGAGCAGTGTTGGTCTTTGCCGAGGAATCCTCCGATCGTCAGTTGTAGAACTTAAGTAAGAACCAAAATTTCGGTTCCTGAACCACTCCCCTGGTTTTGCTATCGAGGAGAGGGAATGCTCGGCCGGACTGTTGTGCTGCCGTGTAGCCTTGTCTGGCGTCGGCGCTCGGTTCTGGTCGGTGTTAGGCATACTGGATGGGTCGGCGTTCTTGGGTGGCCCCATCGAGGATCCGCGGTGGTGGTTGGACCAGCACTGAGGGTCGAGCTGGCACATTTAATGGTCGTAACCGTTGCATGTCAGGGCAGTCGCTTTGGTTTCCAATGCTTCACGCGTGCGTTATTGGTCGTGTCGATTGGTCTTCCAAGGCGTTATCAGAGGTGCTTCATCTGTACCGTTGATCTCTCCTCAGTCCGTGCTCCTGGTGGCTATAAAAGAAAAAGGGGGGCCCTCTGTGTCATTTGCGAGGAAGGTAGCTTGCATTGCTTGGCAGTAATTGTTCGGCGGTTTTCCCTTCCTCGGCTCGGTATGTCTTCCTTATCCCGTTGATCCTCTTCCTCGTCTAGGTCCTCTAGTAGTGGTTCCGGTTCCAACTCTTTCCATGGCTCCAACTATGAGCTAGAGCTGGGGGATTTTGTGGCCACCGAAGTCAAGGAGGTTGAGGCTGGCCCTTCTGGGATGGAGGCGGAATTGGGCAGGTCGTTGGTTTGGCACCACACCTTGCATCTTGGAGCCCGGGGATATGGCTCGGATCTGAGCTATGTACGTCATCCCCGCGGAGTTCCAAATGATGTGTTCGTAGCTCGGTGAAATGGCCACTGATGCTTAGCCCGACGAGATATGTGTGTACGAGCATAGCTTGGAGGCTGGGCTGAGGGTCCCATTGAACGAGGGGGTCGCCGAGGTATTGGACTGGTATAGGGTGTTGTCGGTGCAGTTGATGCCAATCTCCTTTAGGTTTTTACTCGGCCTCATGTCCTACTGTGCAGTCCGTGATATTGAGCTAACCCTGCGGATGGTGAGCTTTATGCTTCA